CCATCTCCTTCCAGCTCCTTTCCAATGGTCTGACAATTTAACAAGCATGATTGTCCAAAAGCAGGTCCTTTCTGGATAAAGGAACAGATTGGCATGTTCTGTGTATACACACACACACACACACACACACACGCACACATGCACATTCACACATATTCCCGACTGTCTTCTGAGGTAAAGAATTACAGCCTGCTGAGTATTCTAGGAGGTAAGGCAAACTCACTTGAAACGGAAGTGATGAAGTTTGGGATAAACTTTAACTTTGGAGTAGATTCAGAGCAAATGCAAAGAACTCACTGGCAGTGCTTTTTTTTTCTGAGCACAGATCATGCTGTACTTCTTTTGAATATTCCTTTAGAAAAGAGGTACTTTTTGGTAGGTTTGGATTGACTAGTATCTCTTGAACCTCTGCTGTTTAACATATAAGTGGCTGAAATGGGTCTGCTGCTCATACTGAGCTATTTGAAGTAGCAAGAACAAGAGCTGGCTGCAAAGAGCTGCTGAAGGACCTTGTGAGGTTGAATGACTGGGCAATCAAAAAACAGATGAAATTCACTGTGCATAAATTGAATCGACACCTACCAGGAAGAAAAATCTTAGCCTCTCATATGAGATAGAAAGCTCTGAGACGATCACTGTCACTGAGAAGGAAACCGTGGCATTAGTTTACATATCTGAAAACATCAATAAAGTGTGTGGCAGCACTCAGACAATCAAATGTTGCAGACCACTGGTAAAGGAACACAGAACACAACAGGAAACATGAAGATGGCACTGCAGGAATCCATAGATAACCTGCACCCTTACTTAGCCCTCTCATCCCAAAAAGCAGAAACAGAAAAAAAATAGAGAGGGGCAACAAAGATGATCAAAATTTGGAGCAGCTTCTGTACAAGATCAGTCTGATTAGCTTAGCACTGTGCAGTTTGGAAAAGGGATTGCGTGATGTGTTAACACATAGGAAATCACCAGGGGCATAGACACAGTGGGAAAAACCTCTGTTTCTTCAAGCACAAAAATCCAGGAGCTCTCAAAGGCAGGGAGCCATAGCCAGGCTCAGAGCATACATCAGGAGCTGGTGCCTTGTGCAGCAGGTAGACCTGGGGAACCCCTCACCCATAGAAGCTGTGTGGGCCAAAAGCTGAAGTGTGCTCAAGGTGGGGGCTGGCTAAGCCCTTTGAGAGTGTGAGAGCCACCCAAAGTTACTGACTCAACTAATCAAACTGAGCTGAGGAAACCCCTCTGCAGATACTGGTCAGAGGGTGGGAGAGCCCAAAAGGGAAGTGTTGTGTATGCTGCCTTGTTCCTGCTCTTGCTGAGGCAACTGCCCTGGCTGCTCTAGATGGACCCTTTGTCTGCACCCATATGCTGCCCTTTTACAACCAATTTCCCTCTGACTGATGGGAGCCAGTACTGACATCATCTAAGTCAGAGGCACTGCAGCAAGCCTGAAGGAAGAAGGAGAAGGATGTGGGGCTATTTTTGGCATGTGAGGCCCAGATGCTTGCTGTCTTCTCTCACAAGTCAGGAAGGGCACAGACTAGAACAGGAGGTCAACACTCCTTTAGAATGTCCTGTATTTCTTAGTAAATGGACTGGAACCAGAGAAGACCAGTAAGCTGACAGTTGTTAGATAAACCTGGGGTTTTTTTAGTAACTTTTCTGAAAGTTGTAAAAAATTCCTTGTGCACAGGATGCTATATTTAACATACAATTGCATTTCCTGCATCTGAGAAGGCAGTAGCATTCTTGAAGACTAGGATGGATGGAGGTCATCTTTAAAAATGCTGATTTCATTTATATGGTTAATATAATGATGATCCACGATTGAAGCAGGTACTACTTTAGTAAAGTTAATAAAAGCTATAGTCAGTGGAAATTCATAAGCTTATATAAAACTTGTAATTAGGAATATCAATAGAAATAAAACTGTCAATAGAGAAATACTAGGGGTAACAAAAGGTGATGTGTGTGTTAACTAGGGAGGAGTAGATACACAGGAAGTGATGGAGGACTAAAATTATATAAAACACGAAAAAAAAGGAAAGAGGATTTTAGCAGAAAATGATGTTGTTAGAATAATATGCAAGTTCAAGGTGACAGTCTTGGTACAGTGATCTTAGAAATTGTTTACTGACTTGAAGTGATTTACTGTTAACTCTGGTAGGTAGCTAATTCCCATGCTTGCTCACTCACCTTCCTCCTCCAGCAGGATGGGAGAGAGAATCAGAAAGGTAAAAGTGAAAAAGGTAAAAGTTAGGGGCTGAGGTATAGACAGTTCAATAGGTAAAATAAAACCTGTGTGCACAAGCAGAGCAAAACAAGGAAAGCAACACTTCCCATTGGCAGGCAGGTGTTCATTCATCGCCAGGAAAGCAGGGCTCCATCATGCACAGTGGTGACTTTGGAAGACAAATGCCCTAACTTTGAATGTCCGCCCTTCTTTCTCCTTTCCTCCAGCCTTTACTGTTGTGCATGACATCACATGGATGGTCATAAGGAATATCTCTCGGGTCACTGGGGTAGCTGTTCCAGCTGTGTCCCCTCCAGCTTCTTTTATATCCCAGCCTACTTGACAGCAGGGCAGTGCAAGAAGCAGTGTAAGCACTGCTTGGCAGTAACTAAAATATCCTTGTGCTATACATTGGTCACAAACCCAACATGGAGTCCTCAACAAGCTACAATGAAGAAAATTGTCTCTATCCTAGCCAAAATCCATGTATATATATAAATTATAGCACCTTGCAATGAAAATAAAAAGCTTGTGACATCAAGAGATGTGGAGCCATACAGAAGAAATGAAAATACATACATAGCATTCACAGAATCATGGAATATTCTGAGTTAGAAGGACCCACATGGATCATGGAGTCCAGCTCCTGGTCCTGCACAGGACAGCCCCAAGAGTCACACGATGTCCCTGAGGGTATTGTCCAAATGCTTCTTGAAGTCTGTCAGGCTTGGTGCTGTGACCACTTCTGTGGGGAGCCTGTTCCAGTGCCCAGCCACCCTGTGGGTAAAGAACCTTTTGCTAATAGCCAATCTAAACCTCCCCTGACACAACTTCAGGCCATTCCCTCAGGTCCTGTCACTGGTCACCAGAGAGAAGAGACCTGGTGCCTGTCCCTCCACATCCCCTTGTGAGGAAGTTGTTAAACTGTGATGACGTCTCCCCTCAGTCCCCTTTACTTCAGACTGAAAAAACCAAGTGACCTCAGCCACTCCTCATATGGCTTCCCCTCTAGACTTTTCACCATCTTTGTTGCCCTCCTTTGGACGCTTTATATAATAGCTTTATATCTTTCTTACATTGTGGTGCCCCAAACTGCACACAATATTCCAGGTGAGGCTGCCCCAGTGCAGAGCAGAGCGGGACAATCCCCTCCCTCAACCGGCTGGTGATGCTTTGCCTGATGCCCCCCAGGACACAGCTGGCCCTCCTGGCTGCCAGGGCACTGCTGACTCATATTCAACTTGCCATGGACCAGGACTCCCTGGTCCCTTTCCCATAATTGCTTTCCAGGCTCTCGTTCCCTGATCTGTATGTACATCTGGGGTTGCCCCATCACAGGTGCAGAATCTGGCACTTTCCCTTGTTGAACTTCATACAGCTGGTGATTGCCCAGTCCTCTAATTTGTCTTGGTCTCTCTTCAGGGTCTCCCTGCCTTCAAGGGAGTCAACAGTTTTTCGCAATTTTGTATCATCTGCAAACTTGCTTAGTATCCCTTCAAGTCCTGCATCCAAGTCATTTATGGCTACTTAAAGCCAATGAACACCATAGTAACTGTACGTACATCTTGTTAAATTCAGCAAGTACCTGTATGCAATGCAGTGCCGGAGTAGGGCTCACTAACAGTCACATGGTGGCTCTAAGACACAAGCAATGGCTAGTATGGCTAAATTTGAAATTAAATCGTTTCCCAAGAGTATGTTTGGCATACACATTTGGTGTAGCCATATCCCCATGACACTGGGATGTGTGAGAGGGAAGCCATACACCTCTGTACGTGTAACATAGGTGGTGTCCTGCACCTGGGGCAGAATAACTCCAAGGACCTGTACAGGTTGAGGGCTGACCTATTGGAAAGTAGCTCTGCGGAGCAGGATCTGCGGGTCCTGGTGGACAACAAGCTGTTTGTGAGCCAGCGATGTGCCCTTGTGGCCAAGACTAATGGAATCCTGGGATGCATTAGGAAGACCATTGCCAGCATGTCAAGGGAGGTGATCCTATTCCTCTACCCAGCCCTGGTGAGGCTTCATCTGGAGTGCTGTTTCCAGTTCTGGGCTCCACAGTCAAGAGGGATATGGGGCTCCTGGAGTGGGTCCAGCAGAAGGCTGCAAGTTTCAGTAAGGGACTGGAGTATCTCACCTACGAGAACAGGCTGAGGGAGTTGGGCCTGTTCAGCCTTGAGAAAAGATGACTGAGAGGGGCATCAATGCATTTGAGGGAGGAATACCCCCACTAAAGCGGGAATGCCAAGAAGATGAAGCCAGGCTCTTCTCAGTGATGCCAACCAACAGGACAAGAGGCACTTGGCAGAAACTGATGCACAGGAAGTTCCACGTGAATGTGAGGAAGAACTTCTTTACTGTGCGGGTGACTGCACGCTAGAACACATTGCCCAGAGAGGTTCTGGAGTCTCCTTCACTGGAGATATTCAAGAACAATCCGGACACAATCCTGTGCCACATGCTCTAGGACGACCCTGCTTGAGCAGGTAAGTTGGACCAGATGACCCACAGTGGTCCCTTCCAACCTGACCGATCCTGTGATTCCTCTTCCCTCCTAACTTGACGGCGCTGCGAGAGCAGAGATCGTTCAGCCCGCGACCACTGCGCCAGCAGGAACCGGACGGCCCTTGTCCTCTGGGACCGTGCGTGCGAACAGCCCCGGCCCCGCCGCCGCTCCCGCACCACTCTCCGCAGCCGCTCCCGCCCGCCGCCCTCTCCTTCCCCAGGGCGGCGGGGCTGCCTGCGGCCCGCCCCTGGCGGGGAGGGGCCGGCGCCAGGGCCGCTTTCCGCCCCGGTGTGGGACGGGGGTGTCCGGGATGTGGCGGCCGCAGCCCCGGGCGGGCGGTACCGAGAGGCGGCGCCGCGGCGGGGGGGACGCGGCGGGCTCAGGTGAGCGGGGCAGCCTGAGGGGCCCGCGGTGCTGCGGGGGAGGGCGGGGCGGCCGCCGGCGGGAGCGGGGGGGAAAGGCGGGTGCCCGGCCGGGGAGCTCCGGCAGAGCCCGTGAACGAGCAGGGGGCGACGGGGACCCCTGACGGGGCCGGGGCTGGCAGCGCTTCTCCCCGCTGGAGGGGCCGGGCTGCTCGGCTGGAGGTGCCCTCGGGCTGGGAGAGTCGGCAGCCCCGGGGAGTCGTGTTGAGTATGGGCGGAATTTAGTAATGTTTCGGTTTGGGATTCTTGTTTGTTTGTTTGTTTTGTTTCTTTGTTTGTTTTTCCTTTTGAATAAAACACGGATCTTTCGAAGCCTGAAAGTTTTAGGATTTTTTTAATTTTACTTTTTTTTTAAGTCCCCGGTGGTGTTGGCGTTTGTTTCACAGTAACTGCAGTCTAAGAAACAGTCTTGCAACTTTTAAATAACAGAACTGTTGTTTTTTAACTCAAAACAGTACTCGAATTTCACTTCGGCCAGTGAACGCAGTTATAATGATATGTAGATGTGTAATTTGTTTGTTTGTTTTTATAATAGCCAACTGCAAAGAGGGAAGTAATGGTGCTCTTAGAAAGGTCACCCACATAATATCTCCAGTCTTGGCTTAAGGAAGAAAAAGGAAACTGCAATCCCAGCGGAGACTCTGTGCATATATACTTATAAATAACTGAATTTTATAAGACCGTGACCTCTAATGTGGATGAGCTGCTCTCCTCCTCCCTCAGAGCAGCAGCAGTCAGCTGTCCTGAGCTAGGACTGCCCTCATTACCTGTACTGATGCTGACAAAAGGCTGGAGCCATGGGGAAATTCTGGAAGAAAACGCTTCACCTTTCCCAGGACAGTTGGTGAAGAAAGGTGTATCGCTCACTGGGCGCATTTCTGCTGTCTTTTGGGCAAGGAAGATTTCAGTCTTCCTTGCCAACGGTTTAATAGAAAACAGCTCATTTGTGTTTTGGTAATCCAGGCTAATCTTTGTGTACAAGTGCTTGAGTAATTTTTTGTTATACTCTTAAATAGTTTGTTATACTCTTAAATAGTTTAAGAGTCCTGCAGTGAAATGCTTTTATAATAAAGGCTTTCAAAAAATAATGCTGCAGAAGGTATATGAGCTAGTGCTGCTGGTAATTAAAAGTAAATGACTTTTCAAAGAAGTGACTGATGTATTATGTCTGGTTTTGTCCTTTTTTTATTTGTTTTATTTTATTTGTTTTATTTATTTGTTTTATTTGCTAATTTGGAATTGGCCTTACGGTAACTCTTGAAAATGGGAGAAGCTCTACTTTATTAAACTTTTCTCGGTGTTTAAATACTAAAGTCCCTTTAATTATGTTGTACGAGTATTCCCTTATCTCATTGCTGAAGTTAAAATTGTTGTGGTTGATTCTAGGAAGACATTGACAGTGATTTTCCAGCTGAAGCTGCAGTACATTTTTACTATTGATAGGGCTTTTAGACCCTTATGAAGCTGAAAATTAAGAGTGTTTAAATATTTGATTTAAAAGGAAAAAAACCCTGAGTTTAGAGGTTTGTGGTTGCTTAAAACATAGTGATCATGGCAATATGCCATAAAGGAATGTACATGAACCCCCAAATGCTTACACACAGTGTTTTGTACACTTGAGATTAGGACCATGTCCAACTATGTCTTTTTTTCTTCCTAGTGCTTGATACTATCAGAGTTATCAATACCCTGTACAGCTTTTTGAGACTGGACACTGCAAATGGCATGTTCTCATACATGGTATTGATAATTACAGTGCAGCAGCACTTTAAAAAACGGTCACAGGCAAGTACTGTGTTGCCACTGGCTTCCTCCCTCTTTAAATTTAGATAAATCATCCTTTGTTCCTGTCAGTAAAGTGAAGTCAAAACTTTGGGCCTAAGCTGCTGCTGCTAGAATTGTAGTGAGGCCATGAAAGAAAAGAGGATTTATTAGCACCAGGATAAATTAATTGTGATGAACAGGAGGACAGAAAGCACTGCAAACAATGTTTTGTACTGACAAAAGCGAAAACCCTAAAGGTTAATTCTGACTTTGTTCACAAATTAGGCACACTTGGTTAGGCTTTTTTTTGCTCGCCATAGCTTGAGCCTTTGACAACTGCTGAACCACCTGACCTTTCAAGTGAGATTTACTGGAGTGTGTGACACCTCATGAGTGCTCCTTGGGAGTTATGATTTTTCCCCCCTCCCCATTTTGGTATTGTGTTTCTTTGAGCAAACTGTCTTTCTAATTGAGCAGAGACAGGCTGTGACCTTTTCTGGTTTTGGCCATAATGCATATTAATGACTCCTGTGGAAAGGGATTTCCTTACCTCCTTTGGAGTATTGGCCTCCAAGGTGAACAGAAAGGAACCTGCAGAGTTGCCATAGTGATTTCCAAGTTCATCCTTACCATCTAGTGTCTTTTTCCAGAAAGCAGTCCTTTCATGCTGTGTCGCTTAGATTAAGATTGAACCCAGGATATGTTGTAATACTATTCAATATTCTTGAAGGAAAACTGCTGAAAAACCCTTATGTATTCGGAATGAATGCGCCTTTTGTAAATCAACAGTCACACGAGATAAAACTTGGCCCTCGGCACTGAAGAAGGCTGCTGTGCCCATGTTAAGCATGGTAGTATCCTTATTTGAAGGTGTTTCCTTAATTCTGTATAACGTTAACATTATTTAACACGTTTTTCTTTCTTCTTCTTTAGCACATAGGCACAGATTCCATTAACAGCTCATCTGAAAAATGCTTTCAGGGAGAAATGTTTCTTTATCAAGCCTGCTGCCGTGGAAGCTGAGATCTGCTATGGACATACTTTGTTTGTTAAACATCAGTCTTCTGTATGGAAATTGAATTAGCAATTGACATAGAGTTGCTCTCCTGTTTATTGATGCTGAGAATGTGAAGTGGCTTAATGAGTAATCTGAAGTCTGCAGGCAGAGGGGTGAGATCATGTGCTTGCCTCAAGTAGGGTTTCTTTGTTCAGTGTGATTCCTTTGGGACATGCAGAATTTGGATTCTGCCTCCCCTTTGTATGTATTGTAAAATGCTGCTTGCTCTGTTTCAGGCCCTCCTTCATCTTACAGCCACGCTTCCTTCCAGAACAGAGAATTTATCTCTGTGTGATAAATTTCTAATTGGGCCTTGCTGTCTAATGAGTATGATTGATGGCACTTTCTCTTCTTTCTCACCCCCTCCTCCGTTCCCTTCTTGCTGTCTTGCAAATATGTGTGTTAGTTGTGTGACCCTGATGTCAGGGTAAATTGTCTAGTTACTCTGCTCTTTTTGCCTTCTGTCACTCTGTTTATTTGTGACAGTGACAAGTGTAAAAAAAACCCCACCTAAATTAGATTTTACCTTGAAAAGTAAATATTTACTACATAAACAGCGATATACTCAGAATTAGGGATGGAAAGTGGAAAATGCATTTTCTTAGTAGTGCTTAGTGCTTTAGTTTAAAACTTGTATGCATTACCTGTATTTATGGATTGAATGAAACAGTAACCAAGTCAGAACTACAAATGAACAGAAATTTGCTAAACAGACTGTATGTATGCTCAGATTATATATATAAAAAAAATTATATGTATTTTGTAGCAAAATTTAATGAGATTATAAAATCTCATTAAAAAAGAGCTCTGTGGGAAAAGTGACTCCTTAAAAAAGGAGCAGAATGAATGTCATGTGTGTGAACTTTCCTTGTTCTCTGCAGTGGCTGAAGAGCTGGTTGGTTGAAGGGGTTTAGTGTGCTCTAGTTGAAGTTTTGCTTTGGTGGGCTGAGAGGTCAGTGGGGCAGGAAACCATTACAGAGGAAAATCTCTTCGTAGGGAAACTTTGAGGCAACCTGTAGAGCAAAGTCAAGAGGTTGATAGAGAACATTCCAAAACTAAACAGGAACAGAAGGGTTAGTAGCTGTGGCATTGGTGTAGCTTTTCAAGACCCTGCTTAATTGTGAATAATAATGGAAAATTAGAATCAAATGATAGTGATGATTTCAATGTGTCTGTAGATATTGAAGTTTGTCAATGGCTTCATGAGTTTGCTGATTAATGGGGTGAGCAGCTTAGTCCCTAGCTCAGCTCATCTATCTGATGACACTTGGAGTTTAAATCACCAATGAGGCTTTTAGGTCTGAAAAATATGTTTTGAGCATTGAAGCAGACCATTCTTAGGGTCTTTTTGTTTTGTTTTTGGAAAGCCATAAAGTCTCCAGAGAGCTTGGGAAGGGGAAGAATAGTGTTTTTATGCTAGTAAACTGCTTTCATGCCATTTTAGTGGGATATTTAAAGTATTTTGCTACCAGTCTTTAATGACATGTTGGTAAGCATCCTTTCCACTGACATACCAGCTTAGTCTTATAGGTTCTCACTCCTGTAGATATGCAGGCATCTGGAATGGTGCCTAGGGGAGACTACTTGCAAGGCCAAATGCTTATAGCCACAGGGTTTTCCTTGATGTTCCTAATGCTTGTGATCTGGTTGTTCCCCTTTCCCACACATATATAATGCCTCACTTCAGGGAAACACCATGAGGTTCCAAGGAAGGAACATCACCAAGCCAGTTCAGTGTGGTAAATCCAGGCAGTCTCAGCTCTGTAAAGTATCTGACTCTTTGTTGCAAGGGCTAAGTTGATCATATCAAATTAGTTTTCTCCTCTTGTTGGAGAGCATGGCTTTGGGAACAAGAGCTTTCCATTCCCTGTTAGGATTTTGGACAAGGATGGTAACTGAGGCAGGGATGAGATTGAATTTCATTGTGCTGGTCTAAGTTTCAGGTGCTTCCTGTTGCTGATGGCCCATGGAGACCCAGATGATGGAGGGAAATGGGCAGCACAGCCGTTTGCTGGTACCTGGCTGTTCCTGTTTTGTGAGTAGTGCATTAACCTGTCAGTATTTGCACTAATAGCTGAGGCTGAGCTGTGGCGGTGTTGCATTCCTAGCTCTGCTCTGGCAGAGCCATAGGCACGCCAAT